TTCTTTACTAATTCTTTGGGAATTTCACACCATGCACCCCAATCCCAGTCACCTCCCAGTCACTCCAAATCTGCTGCTCACCCCTTCAGCCACCCCGCAAGAGAAACCCCCCAAATTAATTAAAAACAAACAAAAAAATCCACCTTGCTCCTTCATCTTTCCCATCTCTCCAACACCTCTTCATTCTTCCTAGTAGCATTGGGAGCTGCGGTGTGTCACACGGGACACCCTTTTGTCCAGTCAGCCCCACCCTAAAATGTTGATTGCAATAAGTTATTGGTCTGGTTCAAGGCCTCTGGTCTCTGGTACACCATCATCCCTGGACCCTCACTGAAACTCCTCTCGAATGTCTCGCTGTTGCCTTGAGTCTTGAGGATCCTACAGCTACTGTTTCACAAGACCAGTCCCTTTCATGTACTCCAGTGTGGTGATATTTTATTTGTGCTCTAATAAATAAAACTTGCCTGGAGATCAGAGGAAAAAGCCAGCCATTATATTAAACAGAAGTAAGGCAATGGTAGCACATGCTTTTAATCCTATCACTTGGCAGGCAGGGATCTGTCTGGATCTATGTGAGTTCAAGGCCACACTGGGTGACACATGCCTTTAATCCCAGCACCAACAATAGAGGTCTGGAGGTCTGTATAGACAGACAGGAAGTGAAAGAGCTGGGTGGGAAGAGGAAGTGATGTAGCTGGGCTGAGAGAGCCAATGAGAGAACAGAACAAGAAGGCATATAGGTGTGGGAAGACAGGAGTAGGTCTCTTTGGAAGCTGCAGAGTTGGTGAGGTAAGGTTGGCTGGTGGCTTTCCCTATTTCCCTGATCTCTCAGGTTTTCATCCCTATATCTGGCTCTATGTTTTTTATTTAATAAAACCGTTTAGAAATTTGTACACTCTAGCAGATCATAGATGGGGTAGATGCTAGGTGGGCCAACCCGAGGCCCAGAATGTGGGTCTGGGTGACAGCTGAGCTGGTCAGTCCAGGCCACTGGGACCTCCCCACTCAGGTGAGGGCCAGAGCCAGTTCTCCTAGGCCCATGCGATGGGGGCCAGCCCTCCCACAGCCCTGGTGAGGGGTGAGGCCATCTCTCCCAAGTACAGGGGCCAGCTCTCCCATGAGGGATAGAACCAGCTCTCTTGCTGCAGTGTCCAGCAAGGGGCAGGACCAGCTATGCCAGGGCCAGTGAAGGGTGGGGCTGGCCCAGCATGGCCTTGTATTTCAACACACATGGTTGCTATGGCACCCTATGATAACATGGGCCAAGGACATCAATACAGACCCCAGATGCAGCAGGACCATGGACTCAGACATGGCCATAGGCAGCAGCTCAGGCCTGGATGTCACCATGACCACATTGGGCAGCAAAGGTCACCCAGATCAGTATGGCCTCAGTGGCAGCATGGCCCTTGGACACCAACATGATTTCAGGTGGCTGATCAGACCCTGGGCATCTACACAGTCCTTGGTGGTAACAGGAGCCACCAACATCAACTCAGACCATGGCTGCTGCAGGGCTACAGACCCAGACACTGTAGTTCTGTGTGGTAGCACAGGCCACTCAGATTGCATGACCCTCTAATGCCAGCATGGCCACAGGTGACAGCCAGACCCCAGGTATTTGCATGGCCTTTGGTGATAACAGGAGCCACAGACATCAATACAGACTCTGGCTATGGTAGGACCACAGACCCAGACATGGCCCTACACCACAGCCCAGGCCTGGACATCACCAAGGCCCCCGGTTGCAGCACAGACCAGTCAGATCAACATGGCCCTGGTGGCAGCATGACTCTTAGATACCAACATGGACTCAGGTGGCTGACCAGACCCGGGACATCTGCATGGCCTTCAGTGGTTACTGAAGCCATGGACATCAAGACAGTCCTTGGCTGTTGTAGGGCCATGAAGTCCCCAGTTGATGACTGTTTTGGTAGGATTAGGAGGTATGGCCTTGGCGGAGGATGTGTGGTCTTTTTGGAGGAAGTGTATCTCTGAGGGTGGGCTCTGGGGTTTCAAAAGCCCGTACTGGGGCCAGTACCTCTCTCTGCCCGCTGTCTGTGGATCAGGATGTAAAGCTCTCAGCTACTGCCCCAGTGTCCTGCCTGTCTGCTCCCCACCATGATGATGATGGACTAACCCTCCCAAGCTATAAGCAAGCCCCCAATTAAATGCTTTCTTTTATAAAAATTGCCATGGTAGTGGGGTCTCTTCACAGCCATAGAACAGTGACTAAGAAAGAGGCTTTGTTTAAAAAACAAAACAAAGTGTGCACTACCATACGCAGCTAGACATCCTGATTGTTAAAACTTACATTTTAATAACATAATAACATTTTCCAGATGATTATAGCATTTAAAATTTTATTGTAAAAACAATATAACATTAAATAAAAATATTGAAAAACATCATTTATAATCTCACCACCTTAACAAATATTTTCGTCTCTGTGTATTTCTTTATAGACTTCTTCCACACACCTAATACATATATATCCATACAGGCAACACTCAACTATACTTTCCGGCACCAGAATGTTCGAAAGACCCTTTACAATCATTTGACAACAGGAACTATCACTTCTCGTATTTACACAGGTCCTATAAACGTAAGGTCTTAAACTTCTGAAACACTAACAAACTAGGGAACTGGGGTGTCCTCTGTCTTGCAGTCCTGAAGGGAAAACATCCAGAACCCTCCACGGAATGAGATGGAAAATAAGTAAATGACAGGAATATTTTCCCAGACATGTGTATTGTCCGCCCATCACAGGACCTGTTGTCTGCTCTCAGGAACCAGAAGAAAGTGCATCTGAAGAGTGGCCTTGATCTGTGTTGCCCACAGCTGTGCTTTCTGTGTTAGAGGCTGAGCACAAACAGATGCAGAAGCAAACACCCGGCAGACAGCCACAGTCTAAGCCTCTCTGAACATCTCTTTATGCATCCGAGGCTGTGGAGAGTAAGTCTGTTGATCGGGCTGTGCGCTTCCGTTCCAATGTGTCTGAAGAAAATTAAGGATATGCTTTCAGGTTGTAAGTTGATAGTGGAGTCATGAAGGTGCCTTTTCCTGAGAGGTTATTAATGCGGCATATTATCTTTACTTTTTTACTTATTCACAAACATTGTGGTTAGAACCGTTGATAGGACATGTAGATGTGAAACCCTTGATTCCATGATAGATCCACCATCACACATAGAAACAGCCGTGCTGCACGGTTTCCTAAGGTTAGGGAGCTAACATAGTCCCCAAACTATATGACACATGACAGGGGCTTGTCTTTACAGTTTCCCAGAATCTCTTGAGGTGGCCTGATTGCTTCACAAAACAGACTGAAAATAAGATTTTGTTACTTGTGTGTGTGTGTGTGTGTGTGTGTGTGTGTGTGTGCCCGTGTGAGTTGGATGTGTAGTGTCTTTGGAGGCCAGCAGAGAGTGACAGATACTCTGAAACTAGAGGTACAGGCAGGCACGAGCTGCCTCTTGTTGGTGCTAGGAACTGAATCCTGGTCCTCCGCAAGAGCAATAAGTACTCTTTACCAGTAAGCTGTCTCTCCAGCCCCTAAAAATAAATAAATAGACTCAGACTTAAGAGTCTGAATTCAAATTCCTTATCTATTCAAATACTAAACACAGCTAACATAACACGCTAACTCTGCTTTCCTCTGCAGTGCTGGGAGCTGAATCCAGAGCCTTGAAGTACTAGTCAAGTCCACTACTGCTGACCTACACCCCAAATCCATGCTTGCTTTTTAAGGTCTATACTCTAACTCTGTGTCCACTGAAATCACTCTAAGCTTAATTAATGTTGATTTTTTAAACTAAATACTTGTTCTTTTTCACGCATATTATTTATTTATTTATTTTGTGTGTGTGGAGAGGTCAGAGAACAACTCTCGGTTGTTTGTTCTCTCCTTCCACGCGGGTTCCAGGGTGGCACTCACGTTGTCGGGTTTAGCAGTGAGCTCCCTTACCCCTGAGTCACCTCATTAGCCTGACTCCTAATCTTTTTAAACATTTAAAGTCTTTTATTATTTTTAATTATGTGTATGGATGTGTATCTGTGTGCACATGAGTGCAGGTGTCCACAGAGGCCAGAAGTGTCAGATCCACCTGGAGCTGGAGTTACGGACAGTTGTGAGCCACCTGATGTGGGTGCTGAGAATCGAACCTGTGACCTCTGGAAGAAGAGTATGTGCCCTTAACCTCTGAGCCATCTCTCCAGTCCCTAAACTATTTTTAGACAATAACCACCACACTACAAGATTACATTCAACAAGGATATACCTAAAGTCATCAGGAAAAACAAAAACAAAAAAACAAAACCAACTAACCAAATAAGCCTTTCTCGATTTAATGCGATCTGCTAAACAAGGGCTCACTGAGTTAACTGGTCAAGCCCCCTGTGCCAGTAGAAGATTCGAGGCACAGAGATAGCAAATGACTTGAGGTACTTGGCGAGAGGCAGAGTTTCCTGGCCAGGGCAGATGGTGGGCCCTGGAGGGAGAGGCACACCCCGAGGGATGCAGAGGTGAACTCCTGCAACATTTTGGTCATCAGCTCCTCATACACAGGAGCTCACAGCCTTACAAAGCATCCATCACAGAACACTCTAAAGGAGGAAGGGAGCAGCTTAAAAATGGACCAATGTGCAAAATGGGGCAGGGGGGATGCAGCATTACCAGGGACCTCATGCAAATTAGACATCTCTTCAGTCAAAACTGCTTTCCAGTTACTCAGTATCACACATCCTTTACACAGCATCCTGCAAACTGTAGGGAAATCACAAAGCTTGGGCTTTAACTCCACCCTAAATATTTTCCCTCATGGCATTTAAAAACATAATCTTTTACATTACATAAAATCATCTAACTGGTTGTGGTGGCCCACACTGGTAGCATATTCTGAAGAGGCTAAGGCAGGAGGATCACTACTTCGAGGCCAATCTGGGCTACACATTTAAAGCAAGGCATAGTAGCACATGCCTTTAATCCCTGTACTCAGGAGGCAGAAGCAGGAGGATCTCTCTGAGTTCAAGGGCAGCCTGGTCTTCATATGAGTTCCAGGACCGCTAGGACTACATAATGAGATCCTGTCTTAGAAAAAAAGTTATCTAGGTATTTACTTCCTTCAATATGATTATTGTAATCATTAGTAGCTTACTGGTGGTTTGGAACCCATTCCCTTGATAGGCTGATAGTCCCTTGACATCCCAAGCTTTTGTCTTTTAATATCAATTAATATATTTTTGAGGGCCACAAGGATTGAATCTGAAGGCTAAGCAAGGGCTCTGCCATTAGGCCACAAGCCCAGTCTTCTTCACTTTTTATTTTGAGTCTAAGTTGCCCAGGTTAGCCTTGAACTCACACCGAAGCCCATGCTAATCTTGAACTAGTGATCTTCCTGCTTCATTCTTAAATAGCAGGCCTACACAAAACCCAGCTTAGCCGATGCATTTTAAATTTTTTCCTATCAATTATATCAAGTATAAGAGCATACCAAATGTCTATAGAAAATAAATGACTTCAACAGCAAAGTAAGAATCAGCAAAGCTTGTCAGTTATGCACAGAAACAAAAGTAGACATATTAGTTAGAAAATAGCCAGTTGGTGACTTTGCCTATGTCCTGTAGCAGTTCCCCTAGACAGCATCAGAATACCAAAGAATTCACCTCATATTTAACATTTTCAAACTCGGTGAGTTTCTTGAGTTCACAGAGGTATTAGAAGAATGTTTACCTTAATTCAGCCTTTTCTTTTTGCAACATTTTATCACAAGTTGCAGTGATCTGAGAGCCCTCACAAACAGGTGGGCATCTGATGACTCAGCTAATTAAACATGCAAACAATGACCAAGTGGATGGAAAGAGTGACAATAGGAAATCTGTCCACTCAGCTTTTAAAGCAACGATTCTCAACCTGTGGGTTGCGACCCCACAGGGGGTCACAATCAGATAGCCTCCACATCAGATTCTTACATTACAATTCATAACAGTAGCAAAATTACAGTTACAAAGTAGCAATGAAATAATTTTAAGGTTGGGGGTCACCACAAGTCAAGGAACTGTATTAAAGTGTTGCAGTGTTAGGAAGGCTCAGAACCACGGGCTTAATGGATTATTCAGTGCCATAGGACTTACGTTTTCAATACACTCTACAGAACAATTTTGAGAAATTTACTAATATTTGTGTGTGTGCATGCATATGCACCCCCCATGTATGTGCAGTGCCCATGGAGGCCAGAAGAGGACGTCAGATTCCCAGGAGCAGGAGTGACAAATGGCTGTGACCTGAACAGCAGTCCTTTATAAAAGTAGCAAGTGCTCTTAACTGCTGAGCTATCTCTCCGGCCTCTAATTTTTAAAAAATATAAACCAAAACTCCCTGATAAGAGTTGAGAGTTACAGTCTTGGAAATGGCAGGGTGCCTTCACCAACTGTTTCTTATAGAGATTTCCTAACGCCATGTCACCAAATGCTTCCAGACTTCTCTTGCCAGACAGATGAGTCTCTGGAGAAGGTGACAGAGACTCAGTTGTATTGTGTGTGGCAGGCAGAGTTGAAAACTTTCTACATTGTCTCTAAAGGCATCCTGGACAAGCAGTGATGTGGTACCTAATCAGAGTTACCTAGCCCGGAGGGAGCAGGAACTCTTACTAGTAATCACTGTAAAACATTCAATTGGCTTTAAGACCTGTGGGGCCGGGTGACGGTGGTCCATGCTTTTAATCCCAGCACTCAGGAGGCAGAGCCAGGCAGATCTCTGTGAGTTCAAAGCCAGCCTGGTCTACAGAGCGAGATCCAGTACAGGCACTAAAACTACACAGAGAAACCCTGTCTCAACAAACAAACAAAGAAACAAAAAACCCCTGTGGGTCTTTTAAAAGCACAGTCAAATCACTTGCAAACAGATTCCATATTTCACAAACAGTTCACATGGCCTGGGATAGGGGGCTCAGCACCTAGACCCAGGTGCCCAGACCACAATTGCCCCTATTCACTTGTGTCCATTAACCTTCTAAATTGACCTTGTGAAGAACTATTTCCCTACACCTGGTCCTCTTTCTCACTTAAAAATCATCATCATCATCATCATCATCATCATCATCTGGTGTTTATGGGGGTTTTGCCTGCACGTATGTCTGTGCACCACCAGCATGCAGCAGTGCTGAGGATCAAACCTAGGTTCTCTGGAGGAGCAGCCAGTGCTCTTAACCCCGGAGCCATCTCTCTAGCTCTTTCTCACTGTCACAGGGTAAAAAAATCCTGGTTCCAGCCAAGCAAATCTTTGATCTCATTCCAAATTATCTTTGAAAGTTAAATGCATCTGCTTTCTCTGTCCCACTTCTCCAGGAATGTGACAGAGCCTGGCCAGAAAGGTAACATGTGCTTGGGGCCAAGAGTGTGTCTCAGGTCTCCTTCTTTATAGGTGGAAAGTGAGGCTGCTTCTGCCTTTTATGTAGATGATTCTGGTAGTTTGAGCCATGATCTCAAAAGTCAATCTCTATACAAAAATATAGATTCCTTTTAAAAGATTTAGTTTTAGTTGTGTGTGTGTGTTATTATGTATATGTGAGGGCAAGTGCCTAAGGAGGCCAGAAGAGGGTGTCAGACCTCTCCTGGAGCTGGAGTTACAGGCAGTTGTGAGCTGCTGGGGTGGGTGCTGGGAACAGAACTTGCATGCTCTGCAAGAGGAATAAATACATGCTTTTTTTTTTTTTTTAACGTGTTTTTTGAGACAAGGTCTCTTTATGTGGTCCTGGCTGTCATGGAAATTGCTCTGTAGACTAGGCTGGCCTTGAACTAGGATTAAAGGCATGCACCACTATGCTCAGCTACAATATAAACTTCTGTTAAGCCATCTCTCTGGTCCCAAGAATACAGATTTTAAAAAATAGATGCAGATCATATTTAGTAGCCGCAGGTACATGTAAAAGATCTCTAAGATTGACTCATTTGGCATATATGAGCTTGTGGCCCAGTTTCATTTATACCATAAACAAACAAAACCCAGCTTTGGTACTAATATGTTAATGTCATTCTTTCAGATGTGTGTGTTTAAAGCTCTTAAATTCCAACTCAAAACTTTCATTTTGAACTCAGTCTCAGCTGCTGGGCTCCCAGCCTCTGTGTGCCAGTGATGCCAGTATTGCCCTTTCCTGCAGCGTGGGGTCAGACAGTTGGGCAGCTCTCAAGAAAGCTCGCGCTCCTATTGGCTGGCAAGTAAAGTCCCGGGATAGATAGGATTAAGGGTTTCAAAGAGGATTCCCCCAGCCCTCCCTCAAAGGAGGGTCAAACACTGTGGTCTAATTCTGGGATAAAATAAGCCTCTGGCGAGGAGAACGTGCCTGTTTACATAGCAGTGCGGCCCCTCCCGAAGCGGCATTTACTGTTCACGCCCCCCCCCCCATGCAGGGATGGGTAGGAAGGTCTTTTCTTGAGGCAAGTGTGCAGTGGGTCCAGCTCTGTCTACCACATCGAGTTGAAACAACCTCCTTGAGTTTCCTAAATGGGGTCACAACACCAAACCTCTGGGAGCTGCCGCTCCTGGTGACTAAGGGACAATGTCTGCCAAGAAGTGCAGTAGTGTCCCTGGAGAAAGCACTTTGCATGAACCTCCATCAGCACACTCTCCCAAAGCTTAGGCCCCAAAGGGTTAAGGTAATACACCCACTCACATCTTACTGCAATTCCTTTCTTGACTGGGGAACAAGACGGCCCCCTCACTATGCTTGATGCGACTCTACACCTTCCCCAAACTGCCCTCATACAAAGTGGGAGCTACCGACCAGGGTGAGGGTGCCAAACCTGGAGCACACGTGTTAACCCATCAAACTCAAAGGGATCTGGGGTCACTCTGGACCGATTTCTATTAATAGGAGATAAAGCTCCTGCAGACATTAGAGGTAATGCCCTGACCGCCCCGCGCGGTTAACTCCTCTTGAGCCAGCAAGTTAAAAAACAAAACATGTCTTGCCCAGGCAGAAGTGTGCCTTGAAAGGATCGTGTTCATACGCACACACCCGGGTTCACTACCTCTCCTTAACAGGCCAGCCCCCACACCCATACCCTGGAAGGAGAAGGGGCAGTAGGTGGTCGTTGGGTATCAGTCAGCTCAGCTTTGCCACACATAAGGCGAGTGCCACAGCCACCAGCAGCACGGCACTGAAAACAGTGGCGGCTAGGGCCTTGCTGGGGTCGCAGGGTCCCGCGCGCTCGTCTACCGAAACGCCACCGACCGAGGACGCACCAGCGCTGGCACCGGACAGGAGTTCGGCGCCCGCTGCCTGCCGCGCCTGCACAGTCCAGCGGGGTACGTTGACTTTCATTTCCATGTCGTCGATCATCTCGCCCACTTGGAGGACTTCGCGTTCCAACTCAGGCAGATCAGCGACGTCGAAGTCGCCTTCGGCCTCGTGTCGCAAACTGCGAGTGCTCAGGGCGCGCGCAGCCACAGCAGAGGAGCCGCCGGCCACCCCTGTGCGCACGAGTGGCCGGCGCGGCGCGTGCAGCGGGAAGGCAGCTCCCAGCGCCAGTGAGCGCTGCATGTCAGCCTCGAGCAAGTCCAGGCAGCCCGAAAAGGCCACCCAGAGCCGCTCGAACTCCGCGCGCTCCTCGGTCGCCAAGCCTCGGTCGCGCAATGCGATGGTCAACCGGGCGCCGGTGGCTACGGCCAGCTCGCGCGCCTTCTGGCGGGTCTTCTGCAGCTCCTCGCGTAGGTCCTGCGTGTCCGCGGAGCCTCCCACAGTCAGCACCAAGTGATGGTAGCATGCCGTGGTCTTATTGAGCGCGTCCAGCAGCGCCTTGCACTCCTCCCTGGCCATAGCGCTGCCCTTCGGAGGCGGTGCCCCACTCGCACCCTTCAGCGTCGCAGGTCGCCTCCAGCCCCGATGCCAGTCCTGGGCTGGGCGAACCGAACGCTCCTCATTGCCTTTCCGCCGCTCTAAACGGAGCTCTCTGGGGGACCCTCGACGTGCGCCTCCGACGTCCCGGCGTGCAGAGGGAGTCGGGTTAGCTGCCTCCCATCCTCTCCTCCATTTTCCCGGACGCGCTCCAGGTCACTCGCAGTGTCTCTGCACGACTTTCTCCTTCACGGTGGTTCCCTGAGAAACCCAGGATGCAAACCCCATCCTTGGTGGATCCCACGTCTCCAGGCTGAGCTGCGAGCCTCAGCTCGGGCCAAGGGCAGCAGGATCCAGTTTCCTAAGACACGCCTCCTGCGGCGGGTCTGGGCCAGGAGCTTCCTCCCCCTTGACCAGTGGTAGGCGGGGCCCAGCTTGGGGAGGTCAAATGTGGCTTTCCCTCCTTTCCCTACCATGCATTCCATTATAGTTCTGGAACCTTAGCGCTTTGCAAATCCAACTTTTTCCTGTTTGGCAGACGAGGAAAACTGAGGCTCGGTAGAAAGAAGCTTATGCGGAGCCCATGATAGTGAGGAGACGGGACTGAGGGTCACCGACTCCTGTAGGCAACAGAGTAGTGTGGCTCGGAGGACTGAGCATCTCTGATCTGCAACACAGGGCGATCGGCGGGGCAGAACGGTTACCTAGGTGGGGCTCTTCTCCATCGCCGTCCAGCCCCAGTTCGGGAACCCAGTTTGGACCCCACCCCTAGTGTCAGATCTTCCCCCAGGTCCCGCCCTCTCACATTTTGGGCACGCGCACTCCCTGACTCTGGGCGGGGCTACTCTGAGTAGGAAGCGCGGAGTCGCCTGAGCCCCACCCCCCAACTGAACTGGACTTAATGATTGCTCTATTTACATGTCAGTCTCAGTGAAGTTGACCTCTTATTGGACAAAGTGGGATGAGGCTCCACCCAACGGCGGAGTAAAGGGGTGGGCTGAAGATTGGAGCTGCCGCACCCGGGTGTTGGGCACTGAGATCCCAGCCCAGAGCCTGGGAGGTGCTGTCGTAGCTCAGAGGTGAAACTATGTAGCCTCTTAAGTAAGTGTCCTCGAAGGGTGTCCTCCAGTGCCTCCCTACTCTGGGGGGCGCGGAGGTCGGGCGGGGAGCGGAAGGGGGAGGGGCTCCCTGTGCTGAGCTGGAGCCCGGGGCAGGGCTCATGGGCCCCCGAGGCCCTGGCCCTTTGCGGACTGAGCTTCTAGCCCCTCTGGTTCCTCTACTGTCCGCAACGGGGCGCGCCTTGCCTACGGTGCCCACCCAGTCTAGAGGAAAGGCGAGGCGGCGCGGAGAATGCGTCCTCTGTTCTCGGGGCTCCACGGCAGGCCCGGGTCCGGGGATCTGGGACTTGGGACAGTGGAAGGGGCCGTCGCTCGCAGGTCGTGTAAGCTGGGAGGTTTTCCGGTGGCCAACCTGGATACTTGAGGAGGAGGCTGTGTGTGCAGGTTCCAGTCTAGGCCGTCCGATTGTGGTCCCCGCGAGGGATGAAGGAGGAGAGGGTATGCCTGCCTGCTTTACACGTGGCCACGTCCTCTCGCCCAGTAGGTAGAGAGCACTTCTGGAAAACTCTTAGGTAGTCTCTTCAGTTTCTTGGTTGAAAACGGACTGTCCAGATGCGCGCGCGCCAGGCGGTGCCCCTCCAGCCTCGCCTCCAGCTCCAGGGGATGTGGACACTCAACGGCGGGTGGCAGTGGTAGCAAGTGACACACCGTTATCGAGGAATATGAGGGCTGATGAGGCTGGACAGACAGTGTTCAGTGGCTGGGAATTGTTTCGTTCTGTGGAAAGAGGCTCCTGTTTTCATTAAACCTTGTAGACTTCCCACTGACCCTGAAGCGCAGGAGCGCATATTAGCGTTTTGAGAGCACCCCAGTGCAGGCCGTGGTGGTGTGGCAGCCAAGAGGGTCTAGAGCTCTGAGCCCCAGTACTTACTGTCACTTAGGGGTCGTTCCTTTAGCCAGTTCATCCGGCCGTTTGCATCCAGATCTTGGATGTTGTGGGACTTGGCCATTCTCCGGGGAGGATGGTGGCAGCCACACAGGGGCCACCTATAGGTCTTGATAGGGGAGTAGGTTTCAGGAATGAGTGGAAGGAGGGAGAACCCATCCCTTTGGAAAGCTGGAGGGGGATGGGGAATGATGAGGCTGCAAAAGTAGACAAAAGCCAAACACCAAGTAGAGACCATGGGGGGAGGGGGGGCAGTGGTGGGGAGGGAGACAGAAGAATACTGCATACACTCGAGGTTGGAGAGGTCACTTGGGTGCGATTCACCAGGACAGGTGTGTGTGATATCCGGGAGGCAGAGGCAGAGGATGGTCTTGAAGTTGGGTGATTGTGTGCTCCCGGGTTAGACCTTGGGTGAACTCCCCAGCCTTGTCTCACCTGAAGGAATCCTGGAGGCAGCTTTACTAGGAGAGCAGCAGTGGTGTGTGCAGAGAGCCTGGGTTCCAGGTCGTGTGACTGGACCTCCGTGTGCCAGTCCGACAGTGCTGCGCTCATACCAGGCTGCAGCAGGCTTTTCGTTATTGATTTGTCTGTGTGCTCGTCAATGATTTTGTGCCGTTAGGACACTCCCTGACGATTAGCTGGTGACATTCGGCTGGTGTCCAGTAACTTCTTCCAAACAATTATAGATGACAGACATAGAGAGGAATCAGTTCAGGGGGATGGTCATGAGGTTGGCCATCTTTGGGAGATACCGAGAAACGCCCATCTGCTGGAGATCCTGGCAAGTAGATGGGTGCATGGCGGTTGCAGGGTGATAGGGTGGCATTGTGAGCAGTGATTGTAGCCCTCCTGACTTAACTGCCCCTGACCTTTCCTCCCCACACGGCACATTCCAGTGTCACAGTGTTTGACAAGCTTTGAGCATCTTGTTTATTTTGGGCTCTTTCCCTTTTTACCTGCATGGCTGCTGCCTGGGATTAACCCTTCACCCACCTGGGCAAGACAGCTGTCTTCTTGCTTCTTCTTAACAGCCTCACGGTGAGCCAAATGCAGGCCTTTAACAAAGGATTTTTAAGAAAAAATATAGCTGAGATCTGTAAATTTTACAGGCCCAGAAGGACACGGGTGACTAGAAAGCACAGACTACACCCCCCATGCTTCCACTGATATTAAAAATAGATGACTAGAAAGTTTCCCCCTACACACACACACACACACACACTTTGAATCATATATTCCTGGAGAGCATTGCTCATCACTTGGCGAGTGTGCCTGGTTAGGGTCCTCACAGGGCAGAGAGAGCTACAATGGTAACACTTGGCCGGAAGTGCATCTCTGGGGCCACAGACTCCCTGTGCTGGTTTCTGGGAGCAGGGCTGCATCCTGTCACCTGATGGGTCCTGACCACCCTGACTTATCTGGGTTGGCAGGACAGTTGAAGACCACAAAACCACATTGAACTGTGCACACTGCCCCCTGAAATGTTCAGGCTGATTTGGGGCGCCATATGGCTGTCTTGTTGACAGGGTAGCTGGCCTCAGGTGGCTCATGTTCAGGGGTATTTGGCATTTCTGACTAACGCTACTGACTTTTCTGTAAATTATCATATCATTAGAGGTCTGGCAGGGATGGTCAAGATTCCTGTGGTGCTCGGATTCTTAGGACTTTTATGGAATGTTTAGTCTAGTTTTCTGTGCTCACATAGAGCCCCTCACCTCCTGAATCCTTAGCACTGCTCCGGTATGTTCGAGGCACAGCTTCATCTCGGATCCTCTCCATTCCCTGCTGCTGTTCCTTTTCCTCTCTGGCCTTATCTCCTGTCTGGGGAATGACAGTTTTGGTGCTTTGCCAGTGTGGCGATGTCCTTCCCCAGCTTGATCTCGACATAACGCACATCCTGTTTCTCAAGTGGTTTTTATCCAAAGCATCTTCTGCTGTTACACTCCACCCTGTGGACCAACTATCAGAAACCAGGAAGAAATGCTGTTCCCCGTGACTCCGTCCCTTCAAACTGCTGGGGCGATCATGAAAGGATGATCTAGGCTCCCGCAATAATGGAATTCAAAGAATCAAACACCTGAACTGTTGCCGCGATCTCCCTGGGGCCCAAGGAGGGATCATTTGCACCCGTTTTTATTCTAGCCTCTTCTTAAAAGTCTTCTTTGCAGGGAGCTCCTCAGATCAGGCCCCAGTGGGGCCAGTAGTCAAGTTAGCTCTCACTGGGCCAAGAGATTTGGTGTGGGGCCTGTGTGGCTGTCTGTCAGGCCAACTTGTCCATCTGGGGAGATGGCGTTTGGTCTTGTCCATTTGTGGCTGATGAAATAACCCTTTCCAGGTGTTATTCTTTCCGTCACTAAAAATGTTATTTTAAACATTGTGTGTGTGTGTGTGTGTGTGTGTGTGTGTGTAGAAATTAGGGGACAGGAGCTGGAGAGGTGGCTCAGTGGTTAAGAGCATTGGCTGATCTTGCAGAGGACCCAGGTTCAATTCTTGCACCCACAACTGTCTGTAACTCCAGTTCCAGGGAGATATGACACCCTTTACTGGCCCCCACATGTACCAGCATGCACATGGTTCACAGACATACATGTAGGCAAAACACCCATGCACATAAAAGAAAATAAAAATAATAATTTAAAAAAGAAGTCAGAAGTCAACTCTCGGAGGTCAGTTCTCTCCTTCCATGTAGGTTCTGGGGATTGAACTCAGGTCATCAGGGTTGGCAGCAAACACCTTTATCCACTGAACCGTCTATCTCACTGGCCACATTAATTTTAACTTTAAAATAATGATTATATGTTGAAAGTATATGTTGGCCAGGCGGTGGTGGCACACACCTTTAATCCCAGCACTCGGGAGGCAGAGCTAGGCGGATCTCTGAGTTCAAGGCCAGCCTGGGCTACAGAATGAGTTCCAGGAAAGGCGCCAAAGCTACACAGAGAAACCCTGTCTCGGAAAAACAAACAAACAAACCAAAAAAGAAAGTATATGTTGGATAGATTACAATATATAGAATGTTAAAATCAGTTTTAGCTGTTCTTTTTTTAAGCGTGACTTCTAGACATTTATATTATGCACATATTGGGCATGGTGGTGCTTACCTGTAGACCCAGATACTGAGTTGAGTTACAAAGATCAATATTTGAGATCTTATAGGTACAATAAAAACAATACAAGTACAGCCAGCGCAAGGTAGTATAGTCAGTAAACATTGTTGCCGCCACGCCCGAGGACCTGAATTCCATCCCCAGGGCCTGCCCGTATGTTTGAAGCAGAGAAGCAAGTCCTGTGAGTTGCCCTCTGACCTCCACATGCATGCACATCGTAGCACACGTCGTGCCCCCCATGTGAAAAACCAAAAAGAAAATGTAATCGTTCAAAACAAATACAATAAGAATTTCCGTCTAACCGTGTGATCTGTGTCTGTGGTTCTTCTATTTTTTACCTACCTCTTTTTGAACGGGTCTAGACCATTGGAACACGAGTAGAGAATGGAAATAGGACAGCCGCACACGAGGACTTGCAGTGTGGCAGACAGCTTTCCCAACTGCTATGAGAGATGGGGATTATGCCAGAAGAGACGTTGGGACAATTGGCTTACCATATGGAAAATGAAATCAGCTGCCGATTTATAGCATCTACAGAAATAAAATCCAGATGGGTTGGAGATGGAAATGTGAGAAAGTTTAGGGTTTTTATAGGTTACAGGGAGCTGTATTTGTGGAATTGGAGGGGACCTGGCCTCAGGTGGCCTTTGA